GACATGGCTGCTAGAAACATCAGGGTGCAGGTGTCCCGGCGTTTCATTGCATCTGAATCTTTGGGGTAAATCCCTAACAGTGCAATTGCTGGGTCGTAGCACCCAGTGCTCATCCCGTCAAGTGTCCCCCTCAGTGCCCGTCAACCATTCACCCCCACCCCCTGCCCTCCTCCCCTTCCACCACCCCTAGTTCATTTCTCAGAGTTAGGAGTCTTTATGTTCTGTCTCCCTTTCTGATATTTCCCCCACATTTCTTCTCCCTTCCCTTATATTCCCTTTCACTATTATTCACATTCCCCAAATGAATAAGAACATACACTGTTTGTCCTTCTCCGATTGACTTACTTCACTCAGCATAATACCCTCCAGTTCCATCCACGTTGAAGCAAATGGTGGGTATTTGTCGTTTCTAATGGCTGAGTAATATTCCATTGTATACATAAACCACATCTTCTTTATCCATTCATCTTTCGATGGACACCGAGGCTCCTATAAAAATTAATTTATTAAAAAAAAAAAGAACCTTGTGTGAAGACAGAGCGCACTAGGGTAAGATCATTGCAAAGTTATGAGTGTGGATTTTAAATTAAAATGACATGGCTACCAACATTCTTTGTTTACATTATATCCCCAATTTACTTTAATGTCAATTTCTCATAATAAATTCCTCCAAAATATTTCTCAGCAAAGTATTTTCCATCTTGTCCAAAAAATCAAGTGCATGAAAATTATAATAAAGATTGTTTAAAGTTTATAAAGATAAATTCTATGAATTTTGGTGATAGCATGATTTTTTATAAGGATATGAATTTAATTTTTTGTTTTATTTTTTATCTCATAAAGATCTAAATTCTACTGATCAATTAAATACTCAGGCATTCAGTTACTACATACCACATAAAACCACTGTTAGAAGGACTATGTTAGAAGAAGGAGTACATCTATAAGGAAGATGATTTACTTTTTAAGAAAATATAAGTGTATACACAACTAAAATTATAATCAGAATATGATACAGTTTATGAAAAAAATATAAAGTATTTTGGATATACAGAGTAGAAAGTTTCAAATCCAATCTGTCTGGCTTCACATTCCCTTCTAAAATGACGCTACACTGTCTATCAAGAGTAGGTGAGTGATTTGGAAGATTACTAGATGAAAAAACTGCATCATAACTATAATGATGATAAAGCTTGATACAGAGTCTACTCAAGGTCAAAGATAATCTCTCAAAATAACAATATGATTCTTATATTAATGATATGAGACAAAAATGTAAGTTATTTTTATGAATATGTTTATAATGGCTAAAGCTATTGAGTACTACTATGTAAGTTAGGTTTATTGTGAGTTCTTCATATCCTCATACAGTCCTTGCAATAAATACATTAAGTTGTGGTTTTATGGCTTTTATTGGAGATACACATAAGGCACAAATAAATTAGTTAAGTTCAAGCTTACATTGAATGAAGATGATAAAGCCAAGGTTGAGGCCTGAGCCATAGGTATATTAAATTCTCTACTTTCTCATGTTTTGGCAATGTCATCCTTAACCACAAATCCAGAAGTTATTTTCTCCATTTTAGATGCTGAAGGGGCCAAGAGTATAGTGAATCAGGAAAGTATAGTGATAGTAAGAATAAAATCACGTTCTAATGTTCCTGCAGAAGGGAAACCAGATTATTTCACCATCTCATATATTATAAATGGACTTGGTACATGCATGTGAAGATCAGATTGATTATATACTGAATATGTGATGCACCTTTATGTATTTTACAACTACATCTGAATAACATGTAAGAACCTGAATATTCATTTTTTAATTCAAAATAGGAGAAATAAACGGAAGGACAAATGGACATGGTAGAGTGAGGTTAGATTCAAAGCACAATATTATCCTAACACTCCTATTTACACAGTGGAAATCTATTTCATCTAATTTAAATGAAATATATTTATATGCCACAAAATATATATTATATAGAAAATATAAAAAGAAAACATTGTGTTTAATTTTCAAAACTTTTCAAACTTAGATTTGCATATTGTATAAGTAATACCATGGTTAACTTTGGATGTTCAGTTCTTTTATTTCTCACCACCTTATGAAAATATTTTTTAAGGTTAATGTTGAACTGGGAATTATGATTATAATACAATTTATTTCTATTGCTCGGAGTTAGACTAACAGTTGCATTAGATGTTTCCATAGCAACTTCATGGGAAACATTTCAGAACACTTCCTTCCGACAGGCATTTGAGACTATATATGGAGAGTCACTATGTGAGATTTAGTCAAGAAAATACCTCAGGAACAAAATAATATTTTAAAGTAATGTGTCATTTCCTATTTTTTTTTTTCTGAATTACAGAGCATTTGGTCTCCATTTTGCTTCTGCCCACTGCTAAGGTGTTCTTCAGGCCTCATGATGTCTAGAATTTCTTTTTTACCTTCACGATCTCACAATCTGAAGTTCCATTTTTTAAATCATAAACTTGTGTTAATATTTTTCATATTTCTTAACTCCTATGAATTCGACCATTAATTGATTATCAGTTGTCATGCCCTAAACTTGTACTATTTTTGCTGTTCAATATTGCTGTTCTGACTGTGCTTGTCTCTAGCCAATGAGAAAAATTATGGTCAGCTATTTGAGGGGCTTCATTTTTTTGCGACTTTGGTACACCACATGCTTCTGACCTTCAGTCATTCCTGCTTAGCAAATCCTTAGTGTTGATTCTCTTTCCCTGTTAATTCCACCAGTTTCTGTTCCTAAATAGGTATAATGTTGCCAAATGATATTGATTAGAGCCAATAAATGAGTGATCATATAATTGATGTCTAAATCACTTTTCACTTTTGAAAGTAAAAGAGGATATTATAAAACCAGCTCTGTCTCAAAGAAACTGGGGTGTGTCATCCCAACAATAGTAGACCTATTTTCTTATCAGAATAAGTCTTCAGTGATGCCTGAAACTCTCTTTTTTAAAATTAAAAAAGGTCAATTCCCTATGAGACATTTCCAGTGTTAGCTTTATATTTGAGTCTCAAGAAATGAATCCCTTCATCCCAAGTTTAATTCAACCAGAATTCATTATTCTGTCTTTCCAAGAGGATTGAGATTTCCACCATGTCAGAATCTCTCTCTCTCAGTAGTGATTTTCTTTCTGTGACTTAAGAAGAAGAAGAAGAAGAAGAAGAAGAAGAAGAAGAAGAAGAAGAAGAAGAAGAAGTCGTCCTTTAGGGTGTCTGTGTAGCTCAATTGGTTAAGTGTCTGTCTTCAGCTAAGGTCATGATCCCAAGGTCCTGGGATTGAGCCCTGCATCAGGCCCCCTGCTCAGTGAGGAGTCCGCTTCTCTCCCTGCTTATGCTCAAACTCTCTCTCTCTCTCTTTCTATCTCAAATAAATAATTTTGTTTTTTTAAAAAAAGTCCTTTAACTCTTACTCAAAATTCTGATCATTGTTATACTACTTCATTGACTTTCTTTGGGGACAGGAGGTGGGGCCGGCCAGGTGGTAGAGGCTGGAGCTATCATAATTCCTTGGCTTTCTTCCTACACAGATCATAGCATGAAATGCTTCTTTCCAATGCATAGACCTGGTCATTATCCAAGAATTTCTCCTTGGTTTTATAGACATCTTTCTGCAGAGGACTTGCTCATGCATCATAGAAGATTCAAGCTTGCCTTAAGCAATTGTCATTCTCCAAACCCTCTTTCTTACAGATGTACTAGTTGATGGATAAATATTTGAATTCTCAATGATACCTCAAAGTTAGCAAGTCCAGAACTAAACTCATTTTGCCTTTGAGCATGTTAATTTCATTATTCCTATTTAAAAAATCACTGCATTTCCTTATTTGGTCATAGCCACAATATCTGAGATTAGTTATGAATGTCCCTATTTTCAGTATCTCCATGTAAAATTAGTCACCTGGTCTTGTAGGCTGTTCTTCCCCCATACTGCTTATAAGTATTACCAAGTTGTGCCTTGTTCCTGCTATTTTGTCAGGTCCACCTAGTGCTCCTACCAGATTAATTGAAAACCATAATTCTGATACTTTCAAGCCATCGAGCTATTCCAGAACTTTTTATGTTTCTTCTGCTTGAGTTTGATGTTAGTACAGATTCTACCTTTGCATTCATGGCTTTCCTTTCTCTGGCTTCAAAACAACTCCCAGTTATCCATATATTAGCCAGATGGGATGGCATGCTGTTTCTTAATGTTAGAGAATGTTCATTCTCTTTCTCCCTCTATGGGCATCTCCTGTTGAAACTCCATATTCTTAAGACCCTTCTTGTGGTTAATAGTTAATCTCTTCCTTGAGAAATTGTTCACTCTCTTCTCAAATTTGAAAGTTTTCTTTAATTTCTTTTAGCACTCCATTCTTACTTTTAAAATTTATTTTATTCTATCTCATAAATGTTACTTATATACTTGTTTCTTCTTCCTTATAGTGTATTGTTTTCTAAAGGAGAGGACATGAGCTTTACTCATGGTTTGAGTACAGGAGCATCATGCTTACTTACACTAGCCAGTTATTAAGTACTTGTTGAAATCATTGTACAAATGTGACTATTTAACTATTGTAGAAATATGTGTATACCTGTAATGTAAAAATATTATTAGAAATCTCTGCACAGCAAAGTTGTTTCCACTAGTGAGGTAGCAAATATCATTATACCCCCAAAATAGTTAAATGGGCTGATGCATGAAAAAAATACAGGATTTTTTCATAGATAAATCCTAGTCTCTGATAGAGCTAAGAAAGGATACCAGGTCCTTAATAGACCTCTTTTCCTGTTCATTTTAAACAGAGCCCTCTATATGCATGCAAACTGCTGCAATCATTCATTAAGTAGATTCAATCTCTCATTTTCCTTAAATCATCACTGATTTGAGCTTATTGTTTTCTCAATTTAGCCCGAAGAAAATTATGGCCAGTTATTCATTCTCTAAGTAACCTAAAAGTGAACTATATTTCATTGCTTGTAGGATGGTATGGGAAATCTGAGAGTCACCAAGAAGGGAATCCGACTTGAAGGTATATCTGAGTTTCTACTTCCATTGTATGTGAAAGAAATTCATTCCCGAAAGGTATGTGATACTGGCTTTGGCTTACTGTAAAAGATAATTTAGAGATTATGTTTTAGTTTGAAATAAGAGGATAGAACCCCTGTATCTCTTTAATATGTATTTAGTTTCCTTAAGATAAAGATTGATTTGAAGAAATCAAGACAGTAAAACAGTTGAAAAACCAGTGGAGAGCGTTAGTTTTAAACTGAAAAATTAGAGAACCATTTTGAATTAAACTTCAGTGTCGTTTTCTTTATTCTATAAATTTGCCCCTCTATTTTCAGTAGAAGTTAGAAATATACAGGTATAGTAATTTCAAAAGGGGCATTTGATATATTTTGAGTAACTTTTGCAGGAAACATTGACTTGAATAAATGATTCTATTTCAGTATTTTATAAATCTTTTTAGCTCAAATGAACATGCATTTCCTAATAAAGATGGAGTCTTATTATAGATATTAAAATTACTTTTGAATGGACATTATTTAAATAAGTAAGAATATTTATCCATTCAAATGTGTGGGTGTGCATATGTGTGCCTTGTGGGTATTTTATCACTTAGTAACATGCTGAAAATCAAGATTGTAGCTTAGCCATTGCGCACTTTGGCTTAAGTATGTTACTTTTCAGAAAGTAGCAAGTATTATTGGGTACATGAAAATATAACTAGAATCTTTCAAATCTATTAGGCATATGTGCATATGTATGGAAATGTAGTAAGTCAGAAATAATGGAAAGCTTGTTATATATAAAATGTCGAAATATTACTAACCATATTTCATTAATATGAAAGTCTATTTTAGACTAAAATAATTTTTCATTCCACTCATATGATATATTAGCAAATGGGTTTCATAGTAAGCCATAATTTGATAATTTGCTTCAAAGGTATTTTTCCATTACATATCAAAGTGAAAACAGAAGATTCTTTTCTATAAAACTTTTAATTGGGTTAATTATATTAACTTTAAATTTTATTTTGTCATATATGAACCTGCAGAGCTTCACAAATACACTATATTGATTTCTACTCTAGGCACTAGAAATATTACATTGAGAGATTACTTGCTGGATTTGCGGCAGACAAATAATAGGATAAACGCATGTATGAACACCTGAACTTACTATAAAAATGAATAAATTTAAAATAAACTTGTATTTTTGTTTTATTTTCTTGTTATGAAAACTGAAAGACTAACATGCACACCCAAGTGAGTGCCATCCCTCTGCCTGGAAATCACTACCACTCAGTTATTTACTACCTTTTTCTTGTGATTGGCACTATTAAATGCTTTAATATTTGAAGGAATGAAAACTTACACATAGAAATCAAGAAATTACTTAACACAAGAAGGTGAGAATAATCATAGGCAGGAACTTCTTTGAAAACATATCCACTGATTAGTCCAGGAACAGCGAAGATTTATCTTCAAAGCCATTTAGATCAATTTGGAGTGGCTGCCTGGAATCCAACTTAGAAGAATTGGTAAGCACTTCAACCAACAGGCAGGTCATAGAATTTATCTGCCCAGCCAGAACATTTTTGAGAGTATCAACAGCCATAAACTAGGATTCTCCTGGGAAACTGGAATATATGTTTACACCTTCAGTTCACCAAACAAAAAAGAGTCCACTGATGTGTTAGCTTTAAAGTGTGGGGTGGTGACAGTCAGGCTCCCTGACTTCTATCCGTAGGGAAGTTCACAACCTCAAGTGCATAAACATTTCAAAACCCACTGTTGATTGAAATCTCTATGCTCCTTTCACATCCCAGACCTGTTGCTTGTCCTCCTCAAGTCTCTATTATCCTTGTCTCTCCGTGACTGCAAAGCCTGGCACTGCAAGAGTGGGTGGGACCCTGTACCCTCCACAGTCAGACAGGAGGCTGGGTGTGACAACAGGGAAAAATAGAGACTCATTTCTTCTTTGAAAATTTCTTTACACACACACTACAAAAATAAGTATTTAAAATAGAGATAAAAATCTGTCTTTTATGAGCAGTTCTCGCATTAGGATTCTCTTGTCTGTGCATGTATGCAGTTGCTCATTCTCTGCCATCAAGCCTATTCACTGTTTTAAAAAGCTACCCACAGTTTCCCTGAGTTTGAGTTTTCTCATCAATAAAATGAGTTTAGTAGATATTTATCAAAACACTTAATTTTCAGCTTAGGAAAGAATACCAGAATTTCAGTAATACTAGAGGAAGTGAGATTTTTTAAAACCCCATTATACATTTCAGTATTTACACACATTTTCATGTATTTGAATATTTTTATAATAAAATGTCAAAGCTCCAGTAGGTTTAAGTTAAGGGAATCTGTTAAATTCAAAAGGTACTTCTAAAGATTCAATTAAGATGAGAAAAATACTACTACTGTGTACAACAATTTTAATTTGTGTGAATTTTTTTCCTGCAATTTTGATTTGGGTGTGTATGTGTGTGTATATGTGTGTTTTCCTGCATTAATGCTAGTGGGTAGCTCTCTTTATATTTAGTTAGTAGTCCACTCTGAAATGAAGAATTTTCTTATTTAAAGTAACTTCCTGGTTATGTAGGTATTTAACCCCATATGACTACACAGAGAGATCTCTATTAATCAAAAAAATACAGTTGTCCACAGACACACTTACCTAATATCCTAACCTACTAAACCATGAGCTGTTTCTGCTTTAAGCTAACTGATTCCCTGCCCCTACCAACAGATATCTATAGGTATTTGAAATTTATTATTATACATCACAGTTTACTCTTCATGTTTTTAAAACATCAGCATTTTTTTTAGGTGGTCCATAAATATCAGTACACAGAGAAGCATTATATTTATGTTTGAAATATCTTTTTTTTTTATTTATGATAGGCACATAGTGAGAGAGAGAGAGAGAGGCAGAGACATAGGCAGAGGGAGAAGCAGGCTTCATGCACCGGGAGCCCAACGTGGGATTCGATCCTGGGTCTCCAGGATCGCGCCCTGGGCCAAAGGCAGGCACCAAACCGCTGCGCCACCCAGGGATCCCTAAGTTTGAAATATCTTAAAAATTCAATACATCTTTCAGAATTAGCAACATTTTTTTCAGAAAGTAAGCACTTACTGAATATTTTAGTGAAATGTAAATATATAGTTTTCTTCGAATAGGAAAAATATGAAGGATATGGGATCTGAGGCCACCTTACATAAATGATAACAATGATAATAAGATTTTGAATCAATCTTCAATGCACATGATCTAACATGAGGTCAAAATCTTTGATCTATCGGGAAATTAGAACATGTAATCACCACATTTTTTTCTTTTATGTAATTAGTGTATTCCCAAGGTTTCATGAGTCCAGGGAACTAAGGTGGTTAAATCACCTACATTCCACTGATTCTTGCCTGAAAAAATTGCATTGTGCAGTTCTCTAGAACTTGTTGTATTAAATAACCCAACCTCATCTGATATTAACGGAACAGCTGTCTTATTCATATTTTGTTCTGTTCAAGTGTTCTTAATTAAGGTACTACCTCACCATTGACCCCTATCACAGCATCCTTCAAAACAAACTTATAATTGTCCTGGGGGAACTGCTACCAGATAATTTCAATTCCAGTAACTCCACAGCAAAGCAAAGTTAAATTTGGGCTCTTGGGACTCCTGTGTTAGCAGAGCTGGGAGTAAGGCCATGCTCTCCCCTTTACCTACAGTCATTGCACTTGACTTCAAAACTGGGATACTCAGTTCTTGGTCACAACCAGTTTTTGGCATTGTGTGTTTAATTATCCTTTACAGAGTTCAGACAGAAAGCCATGGGGCTAGGCAAACACAGCAAACCTCGCACCTGCTTACACAACATGCTGATCTCCTAGCCCCTATCTTTCAGGTACATTGGCAAATCTCCTCTATACAAACCAATTCATACGAATAGATATCTATCTGCAGGCTTGTGTAATCATTTTGTTATCATATTGTTATCATTACCATTTTACATTTAAGTGTTTAATTAAGTGTGTATTATTTTACTATAATGTCTTTATTCAAGTTGAAAACACAAATCACTCCCAAAGTCTTCACACTCAGAAAAGAAACTATTAACGCCTGATAGATATCATCCCAATTATATAATTACACATCTGCACAAATAAAAGGATAAGTATGGAGACATGTATATGCTACTTATAATGAATGTTATACATGGTTTAATAGATGAAAAATCTGAAATAAATGGGAAAGCATTACTGAGCTTAAATATTTCTTCACCACAAGAATGTTTAGGAAAAAACTTGTCTTTATGGTTAAGAATAAAAGACTATGAATATCATTAAGAAGCTAGATGCATTAGCTCCATGTTTTAATCTCAGACAGTATTCATTAACTCCCTGCAGTGCAATCTACGGTGATTAGCTCCTCTCCAATTTGTCCTTACCCCACTTCATTTTCATTTTTTTAATAATTCTATTATTTTAACTTTGTCAGAGTTCATAATATTTACATTCTGTTCTGCAACTTTAATTGCATTGGCACTTTGGTCCTAATTCTACAGATAGATGGCTGCAGTACTAACTAACCATCAGCTCCTTTTATTATGGATTCTTCAGGACTGAGTTCATTATTCCAGTCATTCCCTCCTTACTTGTATTTCATTGTTAATTAGTTTTGTTAATCCTTGAAATATTTCATGCTGAAGGTGTCTGACTATTATCTTTATTCTTTTCTGGAAATAATATTATTGGTTCATCCCTTCTTTTCCTGTTAACTAATTGCCCTCTTAAATTCCACTACTGAATTTTGTTTGTGGACAGCCTGGTATGTTTCTCCTGCTGGCGACATGAATGTTCTGCCTAGATACCTGATACGTTTTTTACCATTTTGTTCTAGGGAAATGTTATCTATTATATGACTCAATATCTTTCATTTTCATTTGTTCAGGTCTTCCCTTCAGAGAAAGCAATAATTCTTGTGTTGATCATCTTTGTCATCCATAGCTAGCATAATTTCTCTATTTTTAAACTCTTGATTGTTCTCTGAATACAAGTAATTGTCAT